TGCGGCCACATTGCCACCGCGAAAATCCGGATTCCGGGGCGTAGAGCAACATTGTGACGGAGAGAAGACTGATGGAGTTCACGGAACTGCAGGTATTGTCCTTTCTAATATCATCGGCGCTGGTGTTCATAATGGTGCCCGGACTGGCACTCTTCTACGGCGGCCTGGTTCGCCATAAAAACGTAATCGGAACGATGATGCACTCCATCACCGCGATCGGCTTGGTTAGTGTGCTATGGGTGCTGTGGGGTTATAGTCTGGCGTTTGGCAACAGCGTGGGCGGCCTGGGCTTCGTTGGCGACCTCACCAAGTTCGGGATGATGGGCGTGGAGCTGGATGAACAGGCGTTCATGGTGTTCCAGGGGATGTTCGCCATTATTACAGTGGCGCTCATCGCCGGCGGCTTCGCGGAGCGGTTCAAATTTTCGTCATACGTGATTTTTTCGGCATTGTGGGTAACCATCGTGTATGCGCCGCTGTGCCACTGGGTTTGGGGCGGCGGCTGGCTGGGCAAGCTGGGCTCGGTGCTGGGAATGAGCGAAGCCGGGTTTGCGATGGACTTCGCCGGCGGCACCGTGGTGCATATCGCATCGGGGACCGCAGCGCTGGCAGCGGCCTTCATCGTGGGGCGCCGCGCCGGGTTTGGGACGGCAACGGTTACTCCGCACAACGTGCCCCTGGTGCTGCTGGGCGCCGGCATGTTGTGGTTCGGCTGGTTCGGCTTCAATGCGGGCAGCAGTTTCGACCTCACTAGCGGCCAGGGCGTGAACGCCTTCGTCGTTACCAACGTGGCGGCAGCCACCGCCATGTCCTCGTGGTCGCTGGTGTCGTGGCTGGTGACCAAGCGACCGTCGGCCAGCGGCGCCGCAGCGGGAGCGGTGGCGGGTCTGGTGGCGATAACGCCGGCCGCCGGATTTGTGGGAGTTATGCCATCTATCATCATCGGCGCTGGCGCTGGCGCCGCGTGTTTCGTGGCTGTTGAGTTGGTTCACAAGCTGCGCATCGACGATTCGCTGGACGTGTTCGGCATCCACGGGATTGGCGGGATGTGGGGGGCGCTGGCTACCGGAATATTCGTCGGCGTTGGCATTGGGTTGGATGGTCTGGACGCCGACGTAACCCGCATCGAACAGGTCCTATACCAAATCATTGGCATACTGGCGGCCTTCGCATGGTCGTTCGTTGTGTCCAGCATCATTCTGCTGGCCCTTAAATACACCATTGGTCTGCGCATCACTGACACGGAAGAGGAAATTGGAATCGACCTGACGCAGCATGGAGAAGGCATGAACCAGTAAAGCAACACCGTCCGCCGCCGTCGTCAGGCGCGCTCCGGCCAAATTCACGCAAACGAAACAAACCCCCAAAGGAGGGATCCAAAATGACTCCCAGTGAAGTAATCGACTTTTGCAAGTCAAACGGCATCGGCATCATCGACCTGCGGTTCACCGACCTGCCGGGCACGCTGCAGCACGTCTCGGTGCCGCTGAGCGAGCTTACCGAGGCCAACCTGGCCGAAGGGTATGGCTTCGACGGTTCCAGCATCAGGGGCTTTAAGTCCATCGACGAAAGCGACATGCTGCTGATACCCGACACCACCACGGCGGCAACCGACCCCTTCTTCCAGATACCAACGCTGCACATGATTTGCGACGTCATGGATCCCATTACCAGGGATTCGTACTCCCGCGACCCGCGCCACGTCGCCCACAAGGCCGAGGCTTACCTGAAGGACAGCGGTATCGCCGATGTGAGTTACTGGGGTCCGGAGCCCCGAATTCTTCGTGTTCGACTCTGCCCGTTTCGACCAGACTACCAACTCGGCATACTACTTCATCGACTCGGACGAGGGTTTCTGGAACACCGGCGCGGAGTCGACCATCGGCGGCGGCAACAACCTGGCCTACCGTCCGAGGAACAAGGAAGGCTACTTCCCCGCTCCGCCTTTCGACACCTTCCAGGACATCCGCTCGGAGATGGTGCAGAAGATTGAACACTTCGGCATCATCGTCGAAAAGCACCACCACGAAGTCGCCACTGCCGGTCAGGCCGAGATCGACGTACGCTACGACTCGCTGACCAAAATGGCCGACACCATAGCCATCCTCAAGTACGTGGTGAAGAACGTCGCCAAGGCCCACGGCAAGGTGGCAACCTTCATGCCCAAGCCGCTGTTCGGCGACAACGGCACCGGCATGCACACCCACCAGAGCCTGTGGCGGGACGGCAACAACCTGTTCTACGACGCCAACGGTTACGCGATGCTTTCGGCCACCTGCCGCCACTACATCGGCGGGCTGCTGCAGCATGCCCCGGCGCTGCTGGCCTTCGCCGCTCCCACGACCAACAGCTACAAGCGTCTGGTGCCGGGCTTCGAGGCTCCGGTGAACCTGGTGTACTCGGTGCGCAACCGTTCGGCGTGCATCCGTATACCCACCTACTCGGCGAGCCCCAGCGCCCGCCGGCTGGAATTCCGCGCGCCCGATCCGTCGTGCAACCCCTACCTGGCGTTCTCCGCCATGCTGATGGCGGGCATCGACGGCGTTATCAACGAGATCGAACCGCCGGACCCGGTGGACCAGAACCTGTATGAGATGTCGGCGGCTGAGCTGTCTTCCATTCGCCAGGTGCCGTCGTCGTTGGGTGAGGCGCTGGAGGCTCTGGAGCGCGACAACGAGTTCCTGATGCGCGGCGGCGTGTTCACCGACGACCTGATCGAAACGTGGCTGGAGTCCAAGAAGGTGGACGTGGATGATCTGCGCCTGCGCCCGCATCCGTACGAATTCTTCAAGTATTTCGACGCCTAACTGTTACAATTGCGGGGGAAAGCCCTGAGCCTGTATTGGGCCGCCGCGCCGATGCCTTCACGGTGCCGGCGGCCCAATGCCCATCGCTCCCCACCGGTGTGAAGCGTTGGGAGATAGAGATTCTCGGCCCTTCGCCTACGCCATAGCCAGGAGACGTTACCTGATGACCGATAATCACGCCGCAGAACGCGAGTATGTTCTGCGCAGCGCCCGCGACTTCGATGTCAAATTCATACGCCTGTGGTTTACCGATATATTGGGACATCTGAAAGGATTTGCCATAACGGTTGACGATCTGGAAGATGCCCTTGAACTGGGGGTTGGCTTCGATGGAGCGGCAATCGAAGGCTACTCGCGGGAAGAGGAAAGCGACATGCGGGCGTTCCCCGACCCGACGACGTTTTCCCTGTTGCCGTGGCGACCCCGACGCAACGCGGTGGCGCGTATGTTTTGCGACATCCGCACGCCGCGGGGCGAACCGTTCACCGGCGACCCCCGGCAGGTTTTGAAGCGGAACCTGGAAAGGCTGGCGACCATGGGCTACATATATTACGTTGGCCCCTGAGCTGGAGTTTTTCTACCTGAAGGACGCTGAAACGCCGGAACCGCTGGATACCTACGGCTACTACGACCAGCTGTCCAGCCACCCGGCATCCGACCTGCGGCGCGATACGGTGCTGAACCTGGCCGACATGGGCATTCCGGTCAAATATTCCCACCACGAGGGCGCACAGTCAGCACGAAATCGATCTGCAGTACACCGATGCGCTGACCATGGCCGACAACGTTATGACCGCGCGGTTGGTCATCAAGGAGTTGGCCCAATTGCAGGGTGTGTACGCGTCGTTTATGCCGAAGCCGTTTACCGGCAGCAACGGCAGCGGCATGCATACCCACCAGTCGCTGTTTCGCGGTAACACCAATGCGTTCTACGACTCCGACGACGACCTCCATCTTTCGGTTACGGGCAAGCGGTTCATCGCCGGCCTGCTGCGCCACGCCCCGGAGATTACGCTGGTAACCAACCAGTGGGTAAATTCCTACAAGCGGCTGGTGCCGGGATACGAAGCGCCGGTTCACGTTTCCTGGACGGTATCAAACCGGCTGGACCTGGTGCGCGTGCCATCCTACAAATCCGGTTACGACACGTCGTTGCGGATCGAATACCGTGCGCCCGACCCGGCGTGCAACCCTTATCTGGCCTTCAGCGTGTTGCTGGCAGCGGGATTGAAAGGCATAGAAGACGAATATCCGCTGCCCACACCGGTAACTGCCGATGTCAGCTCAATGTCAATCGAAGAACGCACGGCGCGGGGCATCACCGCGCTGCCCGGCAGCCTGGGCGAAGCGATTGCGTTGGCTGAGGGCAGCGAACTTCTGCGCCGGACGCTGGGAGATTTCGTGTTCGATTCGCTGTTGCGCAACAAGAAGATGGAGTGGGGCCAGTACCGATCCACGGTTACCGATTACGAAATTGCCCGCTACCTGCCGTTGCTGTAGTCCGGAGTACCTCTATAGAAAAACGGGTATAGAAAAACAGGAAAACGGAGGACAGGCCAACGCCCCTGACGCCGGCCCTCTCGCCCCGTGAGGGGGATCCTGCTATTGAGGGTTATCACTTGTCCGTTCCTCGCAATGACGCGATGCGCGTGCTTCCACGCAACTATCAGGTGAGCAGGATGCAGTTTTCGGGAAAGTTGGTAATCATCGCGGCGCTGGCGGTAACGGTGCTAATGGCCAGCAATATTATTGCCATCAAACCGGTTGCCCTGTTCGTGCTTCCGTTCAATTTCATCGGCAGCAACCTGTTCGTGGTGTCGGCGGCCATCGTCTGCTTCCCGGTCGGGTACATCATCAGCGACATTCTGACCGAAGTGTATGGATTTCGGGTGGCCCGCGGTGTCATCTGGCTGGGGTTTGTGTGCAACCTGCTGATGGTTGTGCTGTTCTGGCTGGGAAACATCATCCCCGGCGCGGTGTTCTGGGAAGAACAAGCGTCTTATGAGAGCATTCTGGGCGCCACTACCTGGATCCTGATCGGCTCATTCGTGGCCTACATCGTCGGCGAGTTCGTCAACGCGGCGGTGATGGTCATTCTGAAGAACCGAACCCAGGGCAGGATGCTGTGGCTGCGGACCATATCGTCCACCATCGTAGGGCAGGGAATAGACTCGATACTGTTTTTTACCATCGCGTTCGGCGTTTCCGGTTACTGGGTCACCGAAAGCGGTTCGTGGGCGCCGGTTTTCAACGCGGCAGGGTGCGCCTGGATCGCCAAATCGCTGTACGAGATAGCGGCAACGCCCATCACCTACCTGGTCGTGGGCTGGCTAAAGCGCACTGAACAGATGGACGCTTACGATGCGCCCCGCTCGCTGAATCCCTTTGGCGTCTTCGGCGGCGCCGACGCCAACGCCGCGGCCACCATCAGCGGCGCTGCCAACTGATGCCAACGCGCTGGGATACGGTCGTCTGCCGCGTGATCGCCAACCATGTGTAATAGCCACTCGCACGATGACGATGCTGTTGGCAAATTCGCTCCCTTCGGCAATTTGCGCGGCAGCAACCTGCCCTGGCATCGGGTGGTGGCTGCTGTATTCACCAACAACTGGCGCAAATTGCGAACCCGACGGGGCTGCTGCGGCAACCTTGGCCAGCCCGGTTGTTGACGGCGTTAGGTTGGGCCGGCGGGATCGGCTGACGGCTACGGTAGTTGGCCTTCTGGGCCCCTATCTTTCGCTGCTGGTACCGTAGACAGTCCCAACGCAGTTGTCCGCCGCAAACTGTCAATGTGTTAGGATTGGTGCCGTTAACAGGTACGGATTGTCCTCACCCAAACCCCGTTCCAACGGGAACGGAGCCGGTTGATTCAGGGTTGCAGGGACGTCCTGAGCGCGGCGGTTGCCGAAAGGAGCGGAATCCATGCAAGCTGAACAGCGCAGGGTGGCCGGCGACGGCCTGCATTACTGTTGATATTCCCCGACGACTACGACGCCGACGCTTCTTATCCCCTGGTGGTGCTGCTGCATGGTTTCGGCGCCAACATGCAGGACCTGGCGAGCCTGGCCCCCGTCGATCAACCGCAAGGGTTACGTGTACGCCTGTCCCAACGCGCCGATTCCCTTTGAGTTGGGGCCTGGAATGATCGGTTACGGCTGGCATCCGCCGCGGGGTCAGGCCACGGACGAAGACTACGCGGAGGCGGAGGGATTGCTGGATGACTTTTTCGCCGAAGTCCTGAAGGAATTCGGGGCCGACGATGGCCGCGCGATGCTGCTGGGATTCTCCCAGGGCGGTGGCATGACCTACCGGATGGGGTTGGCCCGCCCCGACAAGTTCGCGGCCCTTATTGCCCTGAGCGCGTCGCTGCCCGATCCGGAAATACTGCGACCTCGACTGCCCAACCATCGCAACCAGCCGGTTTTCGTCGCCCACGGCGCGTATGACCAGATGGTGTCGATGGACAGTGCCCGGCGCACGCGGGAGTTTCTTAACGAAGAGGGTTACACGCTGTCTTATAATGAGTACAACATGGGTCATGAGATACCCGTGGAGGTGCTGCGCGACATGGTTCCGTGGATGGAAACCGCCGTGCCCCCGCTGGTGGCAGAGACGGATCGAATCTTTTAAACTTATTCTGAAACAATCCGGCCTGAAACAAACTCGCCTGAAACGAAATTTCCCGAAGCAAAAACTGCCTGAAACAAAACGGTTTACCTGACGTTGTGGAGGTACCAGCCCGATGAAAGCCACGACCCAATTGCGCCAGATGCTGGCGTCCGACCAGTTGATTGTTGCTCCGTTCGTCTTGAATGCGCTGCACGCCCGCATCGCCGAGGACGTGGGACACCACGCGGTATACATGACCGGGGCCGGCACCGCCGCCGAACGTGGGTTCCCCGACGTTGGCCTGATAACCATGACCGAAATGGTGTCCAATGCCAAGTACATTGCCGACGCGGTGAACATCCCGGTGATTTGCGATGCGGATACCGGTTACGGCAATCCCCTCAACGTGCATCGCACGGTGCGGGAGTATGAATCCGCCGGAGTGGCGGCCATTCACCTGGAGGACCAGGTATTCCCCAAGAAGTGCGGCTTTTTCGCCGGCAAGCAGGTTGTGCCTATTACCGACCACGTGCAGAAGATTCGCGCCGCGCTGGATGCCCGCACCGACCCCGACTTTGTGATCATCGCCCGCTGCGATGCCTACGCTGTGAACGGTTGGGAAGACACGGTTGAGCGCTGCCGGGCCTACCGGGAGGCTGGCGCCGACCTGGTGTTCGTGGATGGCATCAAGTCGCAGGACGACATACAGCGGTACGCCGCCGACCTGGGTGACGTGCCCAGGATGTACAACGGCGACCTGGCCACCACGCAGAAGATGCAGGACCTGGGCTATAAGATCATGATCTGCGGCAGCACCATCTGGCTCATCTACAAGCAGGTACGGGCCGCCTATGAGGAGTTGATGACCGACGGCATGGTCGATCCGGATCGGTACGGCACCCGCTGGGACGTGGCCTCGGTGCTGGGCCTGGATGCAATCTACGAGCTGGAAAAGAAATACGGAGTGCAGGATGTGGGCACGGACGTGGCGGCTTTGGCCGCTGCCCAGGCGGTTCAGATGGCAGCCGACGCGGCGGTTCCGGCACCAGCCGATGACTGACGCGGCGGCGTGACGCAAGGAGCTCGGGCGGTGAACAACCGCTACCGACTGCTGTACGATGGGGCGTGCCCGGTATGCAGGCGGGAAATACTCTGGCTATCCCGTCGCCGGCCGGATGCCATCGAACCGGTGGACACGTCGGCTCCCGGATTTTACGCTGCCGACTTCGGCCTGGAGACGCAGCAGGTGGACGCCGCCCTGTACGGCATCCGGCCCGACGGCGGTGTTACGGTGGGCATGGATAGCCTGCGAGAGGCTTACCGTCTCGGCGGCTTGGGCTGGATGGTTGCCTGGACGGATTGGTGGCCGGCGCGTCCGGTATTCGATGCCCTGTATCGCGGGTTCGCCCGCAACCGTATGCGCATCGGGCGGCTGCTGGGACGTGGCAACGACGACTGCGGCGACGGCTGCCGGTTCTGATTCAGCGCAATGTGGGCTCTGTTTGCATTGGGCAGTTCGATTGCCTTTTGCTTTGTAAGTCTATGCGATAAACGGCTGCTGTCGTTCCATCTTTACGGAGTGCCGCCGTTGTGCCTGTGGTGCGGCCTGTCGGGAACGTCGTACGGCGTGATCATGCTGCTGGTGGTGGGGATTCCATCCGGTACTCCCTGGGCGGTGGCCATTACTCCGATACTGGCGGGGCTGCTGATGGGGTGCTCGGTGGTGCTGCTTTTCCGCGGGCTACGGCTGATGGAAGCGTCGCGGGCCATTGCAATCTCGCAAACCAATCCGATTTTCGTTGCCGTGCTGGCCCTGCTGTTTCTGGGAGAACGGATATCTCCGGTGCAGTGGGCGTCGATTGGCCTGGTGGTGGCGGGAGCGTCGTTAATCTCGTTGCGGCTGTTTCACGTTGCGCCCAACCCAAGGCTGCCGACCCGGTTATCCGACCGGGAGACCGGAGAGGTTGCATCTACGCCGGGGAATCTGACCCGTATCGGCAATATTGGCCCGGTGTTGCTGGCGCTGAGCTCGATATGCGCCGCGTCCAGCTTTGTGTTGGCGAAAGCGGGGCTGAACGCCGAACTGCCGGTGTTGACGGTATTCGCGTTGCAGCAGGCGACGGTGGGGCTGGTTTTCGTGGCGGTGGGTTAACCGGCGGCCGACGCCTGGTCTCGGCCGTGCGCCAGCCCCAGGTATTGGCGATGTTGATATTCGGCGAATCGCTGATGCCGGCGGTGTCTATCCTGCTGTCGGTGTATGCCTATAGCCTGGGTGATGCTTCGGTGGTGGCGGCGGTACTGGCGACGCGGCCGCTCTTCGTGTTCGTGGCTTCCACGGTGTTGTCGAGGGTGCGGTGGCAGCTGCTGGACGAATCGTTGACACCGCAGGCGCTGGCGGTGAAGGGTGTGTCGGTATTGTTGATTGTTGGCGGGGTTGGCGCGCTCAGTCTGGCGTGATGCGTAGCCAATGCAACGAGTGGGGGAGAATGCCGTGATGTAATGTTCATTGTTACATCGCGACACGTAATACGCGGGTGCAACGATGGCTTACGTTAAAAAATCGTGTGCGCTCTGCAAACGGGAAGGAATCCGTCGAACTTGAAACGGTTAACGGTATCGTCAACTGCAAAATTGGTTGACAACCGACGCGCCAGAGCATATCATCGATTAGCCTATTTTGATTCCGATGCGGCCCGACGCCGGCGCTGGATTTCGGACGGAGCCAACAAAGAAATATGGATGAACTTGACCTGAAGATAATCGGTATCCTTCAATCTGACGGGCGCGCGTCCAACGCGAAGATAGCCCGGGCCGTTGGAGTAAGCGAGGGAACCGTGCGCCGTCGGTTGCGGCGTTTGATCAAGGATGATGTCGTTCAGGTGGTGGCGGTGCCCAACCTGGAGAAAATGGGATACGGCACGACGGCGTTGATTGGGCTGGAGACCGGACCCGGCAAATCGGATATGGTAGCCGAAGCGATTGCCGCGCTGGACGAAGCCCACTACGTGGTGGTGGCCACCGGGCCTTATGACGTGTTCGTCTGGACGGCCCTGGAATCGGCGGAGAGCCTGGGCGAATTCCTGCGTACCCGCATTGGCGTGATTGACGGAGTGCAGAAAACCCAGACCTTCGTTACGCTCTCGACCAAGAAACGATTTACCCGAGTGTAGTCGCGGTCGATTGACGACGCCCGGTGACGGGTTCTGCGGTTGCATTCAATACTCGCCATGCTATAATTTGCCTACCCGAGAAAGGCGATCCGTTGGTGCGGTTTGCCTGCCTTGAACACAACACATTTGCAGAGGGAATGCCGCTATGACCTACATCATTACCGAGCCATGCGTGGGTGTTAAAGATGCCGCCTGCGTCGACGTTTGCCCGGTAGACTGTATCTACACCACCGACGATGACGATATGTACTACATCAGCCCCGATGAGTGCATCGACTGTGCCGCCTGCGAACCCGTGTGCCCGGTAACGGCCATCTTCGCCGAGGAAGCTGTTCCCGGGATGTACAACGAATATATCCAGAAAAACTACGATTATTTCACCAAGTAGGCTGCGCTTGCCGGGCCGCTTTCCTCTGCCGAAACCGAGGCTGGCCCTCCTTATAGTCGTTGCCAACCGCTGCGGGCAATGGGCCGACTGGCTCTATCCGCGCCATCTATCGAACCCCTTACGCCCGGCCCTCGGCAGCCGGGCGCAGGTTTAATTTTTGCGCTACCTGTCTGGCCGATAACCGATGAGTGAACCCACCCACCAGCCAATCAGCCCCGAAGTGAATATTGTCGTTTGCACCGACGAATACGGGTGCGGACGCTGGTATCACAAGGGGCGGGATGCCGACGCGGTTTTGCGGGGATTGCGGGATGCAGCCTCCAGTCATTCCGGAAGCGTGGCGGTTACCACCGCCGGTTGCATCCTCGGGTGCACCTACGGGCCCAGGTTCGACGTGGCCCGGCGCTGGTCTGGCGAAAAGGCTCTGTACGGGTCGATAGCCGGCGACGCCACCATCACGCGGCGGGGGCGCGTTGGATTTGTGCCCATTCCCGATGATTTGAGAACGGTGATCGCCGACAATCTGCCTGACACGGCTCAGGCGTTAACCGACCTCAAGGGCGAAGCCGGTCCCGCCGACGTGGACCTGCTGCGGAACGTGCTGCAGGATTGCAGCCGGGGAATGGATGGTTGCGGCGTGGGCCTGAACGAAGCGATCGTGATGGTGCATAACGAGGCGGCCATCGCGTCCATTCCGGCCACGCTGAACGGCCTGGAATTTGTGGATGGGAGCGGCCAGCCGCGCGACCGGGGCGACATCGCGGTGCTGGTTACCGAGGGCGACGGCCGGATTGCGCTGCAGTTGAGCCGGATTCGCCAGCTGGAGTTTATCTATCGTGACCTGGGCAACGGGATGCCCAGTTATACCGTCTGGCTGCGGGACGCCAGGCTTGAAACGGTGTACCGCATATACCTGCGGCGGTCGGACGATGCCGCCACCAATCCATTGCGACACCGGCTTTTCATGGATCTGATCGCCAAATACGGCGCGAAAGTATCGTTTTAAGTGTGCGTCGGTCGGGGGCCATAACGAATTGGAACACCCGAGGGTGTGGCGGGCCGGCCCTGATGCCGCTAAAATTGTTATTCCGAGAACAAACATGGACATTCGAGGAGGAGGGAATCTGCGATGAGCAACATTGATTCCACACCGGAATTTGTGCGGGAAACGTACCGCAAGATGGACGAGAAACTGGCGCAGGTTCGGTCGCGGCTGAACCGCCCCATGACTCTGTCCGAGAAGGTTTTGCTGTCTCACCTGGACGACGTAGACGAAGCTGAACTGCGCCCGGGCGAAAGCTACATCAACCTGCGGCCCGACCGGGTGGCGCACCAGGACGTTACCGGTCAGATGGCTATTCTCCAGTTCATGCAGTCAGGACGCACCCGGGTGGCGGTGCCCACAACGGTGCACTGCGACCACCTGATTCAGGCCCGGGTGGGCGCTTCATCCGACCTGCAGGATGCCCTGAACGAAAGCAACGAGGTGTACCAGTTCCTGGAATCTTCCTGCCGCCGCTACGGCATGGGATTCTGGCGTCCTGGCTCAGGCATCGTCCACCAGGTGGTGCTGGAAAAGTATGCTTTCCCCGGCTGCCTTATCATCGGCACCGACTCCCATACAGTCAATGGCGGCGGTTTGGGTTCGCTGGCTATCGGAGTGGGTGGCGCAGACGCCGCCGACGTAATGGCCGGGCTGCCCTGGGAGGTACGGTATCCGCAGATTATTGGCGTGAAGCTGACCGGCTCCATGAGCGGCTGGACGGCCCCCAAGGACGTCATCATCAAGCTGGCTTACGAGTTGACGGTGTCTGGCGGCACCAACGCCATCATCGAGTACTTTGGGCCAGGCGTGCATTCCATATCGGCCACCGGCAAGGGAACCATCTGCAACATGGGTGCGGAGTTGGCGCCACCGGCGACATCTTCCCGTACGACGAACGCATGGCCACCTATCTGAAGGCTACCGGACGTGCTGAACTGGCGACCATCGCCGAGGAGCACAAGCACCTGCTCACCTCCGACCCCGAAGTGGAGGCCAACCCGGAGTTGTTCTACGACCGGGTGGTTGAGATTGACCTGTCGACCCTGGAGCCGCACGTTACGGGTCCGCATTCCCCGGACCGGGCGCGACCCATTTCGGAACTGGCGGCCGAGGTTGAACGGGAAGGGTTCCCGGACACCGTGGCGGTGGCATTGGTGGGCAGCTGCACCAACTCGTCTTACGAGGACATGGAAAGGTGCGCCGACGTGGCCCGGCAGGCCGCGGCCCACGGAGTATCCGCCGCGTCGGGATTGCTGGTTACACCGGGATCGGAACAGGTTCGGGCAACCATTGAACGGGACGGTCAGCAGGCCGCCCTGGAAGCGGTGGGAGCCACGGTGCTGGCCAACGCCTGCGGCCCGTGCATCGGCCAATGGAACCGACCCGAGGCGCGAGGCACGAACAACAGCATCGTTACGTCATACAACCGCAACTTCCCGAGTCGCAATGACGGCAACGCCGGCACTATGAACTTCATCGCCAGTCCTGAGCTGGCAGTCGCCATGGGATTGGGAGGCCGTCTGTCGTTCAACCCCCTGACCGACCCTCTGGTTGACGCGGATGGCAACGAGTTCATGCTGCAGCCGCCTTCCGCAGCTCCGGAAGTACCGCCCACCGGGTTTGATCCGGGCGCCGATTTGTACCTGGAACCGCCGGAAGACGGTAGCGAAGTGGATGTGCGCGTCGATCCCACCAGCAACCGCCTGCAGGTGCTGGATCCGTGGGAAGCGTGGGATGGCAAGGACTTTGAAGACGTTCCCATTCTGGTAAAGACCCAGGGAAAGACAACCACTGACCACATTTCCCCGGCCGGGCCGTGGCTTCGGTTCAGGGGACACCTGAACAACCTGAGCGACAACATGTTCCTGGGGGCTTCCAACGCCTTCACCGACGATAACGGCACCGGCAAAAATCAGCTTTCCGGCGAGGAAATCGCTCCGATACCGGAGATCGCCCGCGCCTACAAGGCCCAGGGCATCCGGTGGGTTGCCATTGGTGACGAGAACTACGGCGAGGGTTCCAGCCGTGAGCACGCCGCCATGTCGCCTCGTATGCTGGGAGCGGCGGCCATCATCACCAGGAGCTTCGCCCGCATTCACGAGTCCAACCTGAAGAAGCAGGGGCTGCTTCCCCTTACCTTCGAGGACTCGGCGGACTGGGAACGCATAAGGGATGACGACCGGATGAGCCTGGTTGGATTGGACCAACTGGCGCCCGGACGCCCGGTACAGGCGGTTTTGAAGCACGCGGACGGCAGCGAAGAAACCATCAACCTGCGCCACACGCTGAACAACCCGCAGATCGAGTGGTTCAAGGCGGGCAGCGCCATGAACTACATGAAACAGATGGAGGAAGCCGGCGGATAGCTGAGTGCACCTTCCGATGCTCTCACAGAAACGGGAGATTGAAGACTGTATAATAGATATAACGAGATGAGCGATGGATCATGTGGAATGGTCGTGCCGCTCCGTTAAGGAGGCGGAACTATGGCAACCCGAGATACCTACAATTACACGTACCGAGTAGGTCGCAAGGTGTCGCACCGTGGGATCACTAACAATCCGGGTAGACGCCAGGACGAACATCGGCGATCGCGACCGGGAGGGAAGTTAACGGTTGACGGAAGGGCGAAGACGCGTACCGGAGCACGCCGTACCGAAAGTCGTCAAACTAAAACCAGAGGCTATTACGCGTAAAATTTTAGCGGCGCCACCCAATTGCGGACGGCGTCGCTAATTTTGGGTACTACGGGCAATGAGCACAGAGAACCTCCCCGTAAGCGAGAGTCTGGACGCAGTATTAAAAATAATCCAGGAATTGGCCTCAAAGTCATCGGGCCACGATTTCGTTTACCGTGGCGAGCCAGCGTTGTACGATAAAGTGTCCTCGAGCCTGTATAGGAGGTTCGAGAACATAGAGGACCCAGACTTCGACATAGCGTTTGTCGAAAGGGAAATCGTTAATGAGGCCGCCAAATACACTCGATACTCAGGCGAATCCACGGAGATCGAGATTTTGTCCCAACTTCGGCATAACGGGGGAGACACCAACCTGATTGATTTTACAACCGATTATTTGATCGCGCTCTTCTTTGCGTGTGACGGCGCACCGAACGAACATGGACGGGTTGTGATGCTGTCAAAATCAGCATCGGATTATGACCTGGAAGAACCCAGTAGCCCTATCCATCGCGTCATCGCTCAGAAGAGCGTTCTAGTACGACCGTCCTCGGGTTTTGTCCAACCCAACGATTTCGTGACTATCCCGAGCGGTTTGAAATCGAGGGTATTGGACTACTTGCGCGACTGCCACGGAGTCTCTACTGAAACAATTTACAATGACATCAATGGATTTATCACGCATCAGGGCATTCACCAAAGCGCTTATACAGAATTCTATCACGCCCTGACTTTGGCGAATAATGGAGATGCTCAACTTGCAATCGAGCATTATACGAAGGCGATAGATCTCAACAGACAGAACCCT